GTATCGATCAGCCCTGTGATAATTGATTGATCTGCATTGATTGGATTTGTGTGTGTGTGTGTGTGTGTACCTGCGGCAGTGGAGGTTAAAATATGTACGCTATGAAAGAACAGAATCTATTCTCTTTAACACATGTTTCATGTTTGCATGTGTCTAAAAGTTGGAGGAACAAAGCATGGAGAGAACTATTCATCAGCAATGGGGAAACGTGTTCATATGTGTGTGTGTGTGTGTGTGTGTGTGTGTGTGTGTGTGTGTGTGTGCTCAGAGAGTGAATAGGAAAGATGTGAGCACTAAATAATTTGATTATTTGATTATTGGTTTACTATTCCGCTTTATGAGCACAGAGCTTGTGAATTACATGGCACTGCAGCTTGGGCAAAATGCTTCCTGTTACACGGCACACTCCAGTAAAGTACATTAAAGATCTATTTTCAAATCAATTTTTTTCGTGTGCACTTTTTAACTGGATTAAAAAAAATATTTTGGGCTTTGTAGAATAAAATCTTGCAAAAAAAGTTCACAAAGCAAAGTAGCAGCAACATAATTTCAACACAACATTAAAAAACAGGGCATGCTGGCAGGGAGGATCTTAAATCTCCATCAATAGAGCACCAGAGAAACGAGTCCTAAAACCCAGAAGTGAGATAGCAGTTCTGCACTTCTGGTTCCCTCGTTTGGATTCAGGTCTCTTTGGTTAGAAAGATGAAATAAGGTCTAGCTTTAAGCTTTAGTAATCTGGATGCATGCTCAATCATCCACACATTTGCATAATGACAAAAAATAGCACTACTGACTAACAATGAGCCAATTAACGTCATTACGCTGAACCCAAGTGATGATGGTTTTGTTTATACCATAATGCCTGCATTTTACTTTTTCCAATTGCACTTATGCTGCAAAGATCAGAAAAGAGATGTGCATTCACTGAGATTAATTCGCTGACATGCCATGAGCTTTTATTTTACACGATAATTAAAGAACAAGAATCTGCTTTGTGCAGAGAAAACAAAAGTGATGCTAACTTCTGGTTTAACCTACAGAAAAAGGAAAAAAAACCTTTCCCTGCCACACTTTAAAGGAACAATGAACGTCAGAGGGGCGGAGCCTAAAGGAGCGTAACTATTGGGCAAACAAGTTTAAACCCTGGAACGGAGTTCTGTTCATATAGCACCAAATCACATGCACAATAACAATAAATCTTGGCATAAGAAACATAAAATGTAAAGGTTATGCTTCACATTTAAAAATGTAACTGATGTTGAGCACACTTACCAGTTGTTGACCTGTAAGATGGTCAGTCCTGTATCCTGTGACAGCTGCTTCTTCTGCTCCTCAGATGGGTACGGATGCTGCAGGAGGACACACGAGGCTCAGGTTAGAGAAATCAAACAGTCCAGACTCTGCGCTGTGATCTTTTCAGCTTTTGTTGAGAATCATCTCGAGGCCTGAATCTAGAATAAAGCGACGTCTGTGAGCTCTCAGCTCGAACATCGATGACCTTCCGTCTGAGCGAACATCTGCACTCACATTTTCACCCTCATCAGCCCCTCTCGCTTTCCATCTCAGTATCTCTCTCTAACTCACACACACGTTTTAATAATTGAAGTGAAGCAACATTTGACCTGCCTCATTTAGTAGCTAATTACCAATCCAAGCAGCTCACCAACAATTACTCACTCCATTTCTGTCGCTTCTACAATTATTCAACAGCAAGCATATTCACATAATCACTTAATCCCGGATTTTTCATTTAATTTAATTGACCTCCATTATACAGTGGCTTCACCCCTCTTTCTATTCCTGTCATAGACGTTTTGTTCCATGCTAAATCCTCTCTTTCACTAATTACAGCGCACAGACTTCCTTTGTTTGGTTACCAGTGTGGAAAGATGACTTAACTACAGTTTAAATTCAATATTTTCAAGGGTAATAATTCACTTTAATGTGGAAGGTAGATGAAAAGCCAACCCACCGACAGGTGCTGGAAGAGCCAAGCTCTCATGATGTTTGTGGCCACTTTAGGGAAGATCCCCCTCTTCTTGTTGTTCCTCCTGTCTCTGTCCGTCTCGTCCTCCTCACCTGTGCTGGGAGAGGCCACGCCTCCATCGAGACCATCGCCTGCAGGGAGACCATGGAATCATCATCATCCTAAATGACTGCCAGCATCTATCAGGTCCCAACTCACGCGAGCCCACTAAGCAAATGTGTTTGAGCCGAGACAGGCAAACTGCGTCAGCTTTAAAACCACACTCTGCTTTCACAAATCAAACTCACCATAACTATTATTTTACAGTTTAGTGTAACTGCTGTGCATGTCATTCATTTTACGGTTGAAAAATGGTTAATTTTCTACAGTTATTGCACTGAAACTATTTTTTCTATCCAGCTTAAAATATTTAATATTGTGAATGACAGACAAAGGCAGTAATTTGTCTTTAAGAAGCTGAAAGCGAAGAATGTTTCTCATTTTTGTTTAAAAACGCCTGAAGTGATTCATTGATTATCAATGCAGCTACCAGTAGTTATGATAATACTGGCTTGTTTTAACACAGTTATTTATATTACTATACACAGTGAATGTGTAACCTGCTTTCCCTGTGTCTGCTTCCTCACTGCAGTGTTTTCTGGTGCACACAGTAGCTCGGTTCATCATTAACTATTGATGTCATGTAAATAATACACATATGATCATGTCTCACGCACAAATTGTCCTTTGCTCTGCGCAGACTGATTCTTTTACTTTCCACTCTATCTGCCTGTCTTTTCTGTACTCTAACTCTTTAACCCTGTGGACACCTGCCAGGGAACACCCTTATTTCTCTTCTCTAAACTGAGTGATTTCTGTCATGTTTCAGGCATGCTTCCAGCACGAAAGGACTGGCTGTGCATCGGAGGTTAGTGAGAATGACCTCTCCCTATACGGTTTATTAGGACTACCCTCAGAAAAACCTGAAGCCTGCTCTTATGGCCATCAAACTAAGTCTTTATAGATATATATTGAGAAACACATCATTGAGGGTACAGAGATTGGGGAAAGAGTTCAATTTAATTCCCTGATGCTTTTAGATATATCATAGCTGCGACTTCCTTTGGCTATTATAATTGTGCAGCTAAGATCTGTGCTAGTGTATGTGTACCTGCATCACTACAGGTGTCTGCTGTGCTGTGTGAAGGTAGGCCACAGGTGCCTGGCGTTCCCAGAGGAGTAGTGGCACATTCATCTGGCTCTCGTAACCACGATGCATTCTGCAGGCACAGGAAAAGATGGAGGACAGAGGTGAGATGAGGAATTCCCAGTACAGGAGGAATAAAAGGGAATTGAGAAACACTAGGGGCACTACTCTGGATTCTCAGTGGACACAGATGGATGTGTGATAAGCATGCCGATCAACATCCAACGCCTCACCTGCTCCGACAGACTGGTACAGGACCCGGTGAAATCCTCCATGTCAGACTTGGACCCACCCTCTCGCTCGTCCAGCACAAGGTCTGTGGGCATTTTGCCCTTCAGACAGGTGATGTAGCGATGGCAGAAATTATCACACAGGTCGTGCACCTTGGGAAAAAGATTTATTTATTTATTTTTACAGATTTTTACTTTAAAATTAATACTAATGATACCTAATAATGAGCTTTAAGCTTTAAGCCTACCAACAGATTAAAGGACAGGTGCACATATTTCAAATTTAAAGAAATTATAGCTATAACAATAAGCCTTTTACAGACTTATTGCCTTTCTTGTTTAGTTTAATAAAAAGAAATATGATGCTAAACAAAGATAACATCAACAACATCCAGTCTCACAAACCTTCTCTAACTCCAGTAAATGAAAGCGAAGAACCTGTATGGCCTGGATCATCTGAGGAGGAAAGATGCACTTTAGCTATGAAAACATATCCCACAATGCAATATGTGAAATCTGAGTTAAGTGTGAAGTTAGTTGGTGCATCATACCAAATTGTCCAGCTCGGGATTGGAAGAAAAAATGGGTTTCTCTGACCGAATCTGCAACACAAAGTCGACCCAGTATTAAAAAAATATGAAAGCAAACAACATCAGCTGAGACCTGGTTCTCTGATTGGGCCTCACAGTCACCGCTCACCTGCTTTGCGAAGGCGGCGATGTCATCGTTGAAGGATTCGGAGGAGCAGACGTCGCTGTGATTGGTCATGCCAGGGAGGTGGGAGGTTGCTGACAGGGAGGTGGAGTCTCGAGGGGAGCAGGTGGCCAGCTCACACTTCTCAAACACTAAGGCCAGCAGTGGAAACAGTGGGTGACTGTACACACACACACACACACACACACACACACACACACACACACAGTTAACAAACTATACATAAACACAGTCACAGTTGACATTCGTGTGTTAAGAGAAACTTTAAACCGCAGTATTTATGTTGCACACAGCTATAAACACTCCATGTGTATTTTCATATTCAGCACAAACATATACTTTATGTTAATCTGATGAGAGTGTGCAAGTACTTAAAATTTTTCTAGCCACTGGAAGGCTACTAAATCATTTTTTGACACATGCTTACCCGTAGATCTGGTCCTTGTGGTGTTTGAGGGAGTCGGGGATGGTGGGTCCGTACTGCGGGGGAGGAAGCCCCCGGACTTCGTCCCCGTACCCCCCCACCGACATGCCCTCTGACCCTGAGTAGTGCACCAGCTCTTCATACTGAAACACAATTAGATGAAAAGACAGAAAACATGAGACACGTTGGACATCTGTGGCTGTCTGACATCAAATCACACTGGGATTTTATTATGTGGTCGGGCTGTCAGTGGAACGCTCTAATATACAGTTACAGTTACTAGACCTGATGCGGGTTTATATCTGCATGCTTCTGTTTGTGCTGTCATTTATATAAATGGAAAATGACCACATATTGATATTGTAAGTTTGAGTATGTGTGTTAGTGCTATTACAACTAGTAATCCTAGCTAATCTGAAACTAACTGTCGAACCAGTGTCACTGCAGTTTGATGTAATTTATTTACACACATTCATGAGAAAATGGCCTTGATCATCTGAGGAGGAAAGATGCACTTTAATTATATAAAATAGCTTTTTTTTCACTTTGGCAGAAAGATGAGATACTTAAGGAAATTCTAGCAATGCCAGGATCCTAAAACACTCATGAAAGCCAAACAGAAGCAGCAGCAGCAGAGCTGCAAAGCAGTTATCCTCACTACTTGAAAAGTTTACTTTCTGTGAGCTAAGAAGAAGA